AGAGGATATAGATATAGATATAGATATAGATATAGATGTAGATGTAGATGTAGATGTAGATGTAGATGTAGATTTAGATATAGATATAGATTACTTCTTTCAACCTAAACAAGAACTCCATTTTGCAGAGGAGAAAACTGAGGCACATAGAGGTTTACTAGATGCTCAAGACCATACAACTTGTAAGCAGACGAACCTGGAATGTTCTTAGTCCTTAGTGTGAATGCATAACTGTTTCACTATACTAAGTGGCAGGGCTGTGATTCAGTTACAGGTGGCTGACCCAGAGCCCTGCTTACCTCATGCTAAATACTGTAGACCATTAAAAAATAAAGTATGTATAATAAAGGCTCTACACATTGGTGTACTTAAGGCAAAAAGAACATGTGTTCCTGTAGACTTGGACCCTTGGAGCTTAGGAGAGAGAAAGGTAGAGGTAACATGCTTGGGGGAAAGAGAGGAAGGAGAAAAGCACATATAGGGATTTTTTTTTTTGAGAGGGGGAGGGGGGGGGGGAAAGAGGAAGATTGTTGTTTTGTTGTGTGTGTTTTTAACTAAGACTGAATTAAAATTTTACTTTTTAATTCATAATTTGTATTTCCACATTTCACGTGGGAAATTTAAGTTGGGAGCAGGTGGAGGAAGTCAATTTTGACAATTAGGTATCAACAGGGAGAGCCATCCAAGAGGGTGGAGAAGACCCACAGAAACACTGGAACCCTGGCACGATTCCAGATCTCGTCTGCAAGTGATGCTGTCCCGGGAAGCCTGTTATGCAGACACATTCCTCACCACAGCCCTGACACCTCGACTGAATATTTCCGAGGTGCGGCCCAGGAACCTGGGTTTCTTCCCAGCAAGTGATTAACTGTTTGGAGTGCATGGTTTTGAACCCTGGCTGTCCATTAGAAATACAAGGCACTTTTATAACAGCAGAGGCCTAGGTCCATGCCCCAGGGAGTCCAACATCCTTCGTCTGGGGTAGAGACAGCCCTCGGTGTTTTGAAACACTCCCAAGGTGGTTCAGTGTCAGCTAAAGTTGAAAAGCCTCTGGTGCGGAGGATGGAGCAGACCTGGTTTATAAAGCCAGTGGATTCATACCTGGACAGGTTTCCCCTGGTCGACCCGGGGGGCCGGGGGGGCCGGGGAACCCAACAGCCCCCATTTCTCCATAGCGGCCAGGGAGTCCTGGATCCCCCGGAGGACCTGCCAAAAAGAATGACACTTGTGACATAATAAACATATACCTACATTGTAAAATCCCACACAAGTGCTTTCTGTGACGCTTGCTGAAATGCAACTAGGAGACTGCTTTATAGTGTCCCTCCACATTTTACATGTTATATCTTAGATATGAGCCTTTCGTCCTGACTGGTTTGGTTCAGCGGATAGAGTGTCGGCCTGCAGACCGGGGGGTCCCAGGTTCGACTCTGGTCAAGGGCATACACCTTGGTTTGCGGGCACATCCCCAGTAGGAGGTGTGCAGGAGGCAGCTGATCAATGTTTCTCTCTCATAGATGTTTCTAACTCTTTATCTCTCTCCCTTCCTCTCTGTAAAAAATCAATAAAATATATTTTTTAAAAAAGATATGAGCCTGGGAAGACTGTAGTTTTCAAAGATGGTCACGTGGTGCTATGTTCCTCATGTTCTTGTGGAACCTTGACTTTCCCCATCGCAAGGTTGGGGGTTTCCCTCCCTTTGAATGTGGCAGGCGTTTGTGATTACTTGGGCTCATGGAGCACGGTGGGAGTGGCACAGTGGTTTGCAAAGCTAGATTATTAAATGTGATTCCATTTCTGCCTTGTGAGCTGAAACATTTGGGCCTGGGAGAGTGGCCCACCATAGAAGCAATCCCACTGTTCCTAAGCCACCTGGTGAGGGAGTCTAAATGAAGTCTAAATGCACACAGAGAGGCCTGAGGCTACTCGAGAGATTTAGGAGGGAGATGCCTGGCCAGTTTCACATTCCAGTTCCTTCCTGCAATCAGTCCTTGATCTAGAATAGCTCAGCTTAGCCCTTCTATTTGGAACCACAGAAGAGTGAAGGGTACTATAATGATTGTTGTTATGTTAAGCTACTAGGTTTGGATAACAAGTTCACTGATAGACCACTGAAACCCTGTCGGTAATCAGTAATATAGTATGCTACTTAAATAATGGCTTTCATTATTGTGTGCACATGTGCTGGGGCTTTGCTACATATTTCCACACATTATCTTTACTCCTCAAACAATCCTGCAAAGTTTGTACCTTAGAGATAAGCCATGGAAAATTTAGACCAAATATGAGTAAAATAATAGCTAACATCAGTGAGTCTTTACTATATGCCAGGCTGTAGTCTAAGAACTGTATATGTAGATATAGATAGATAGATAGATAGATATACTGGTAGATAGATAGATAGATAGATAGATAGAGATAGATAATCAAGGAAAACACAACATAGTCAGTCCAGCACTGAATGAAACAACCTTTTACTCACACAGAGACACAGAGCAAGATCAGCTCAGTAGTGGGTGATGGTCCCCCCATAGCCGGCAGGTCCTCCTAGCAATCAATGCAGGGTCATCAGTCTGAAAGCATCCCTTTTGTGTCAGAGAACAAAGGACAATGTCTTTCCCCACAGCAGACAGATATAGCAGTCGGGGTGTCCGGGTCTCAGATCACACATAGGCTAAAGCAGAACAAAGAAACCA